CTGGCAATTGTTAGATGGATAAATACCAGTGCATGTGGACTACTGCTTCATTTCCCTCAAGAATTTTGTGTTGAAAGAAGCTCCTCTCCAAGGAACGAAGATGCAGAGATACAGCACTCAACAGGCATTGGAAATGATCCTGAATGGAGCTGACCCTTGCGAATCGGATGGAGAAGACATCAATCTCCAGGTGGATTCAGACTCTGAGCTGTCTCAGTTGTCTTCAGGTAATATTTCTTTTTATATTATTTCCCATTTTACATTTCATTTCAGTGAGGGAGTAAATCACCTCAGAACTAGTATTTTTTTTACTAGAAATAAGAACCTAAAAACTAGACTATTTTGACATGTTTTAAGACATTTGCCAATGGGGCAAGCTGTTTTGCTAGCTAAGACTTTTTACTAGCTTGATTTACTCATTTCAAGCAAATGTTGTTTGCCTAGCAAATTTTGCCAAGCAAATATTGCTAACCTTGTAAAAAAAAAAGCTTGCCCCATCGGCAAATTTCTTAAAACAAGTAAAAATAGTCTAATTTGAGGTTTTTATTTTTTAGTTGAAAAATACTAGTTCCAAGGTGATTTTTACTACATTACTTGAAACTAGAAAAATAATTTTTTTTTGCTGTGATTAGCTTCTATACTTGCATTTGTGATATCATTTGAATTTCCCATTGCTCATAATTAAAAAATGTTCACGCTACAGATGAGGAGAGTGCTCCACAACCAACAAAGAGATCTCGGCTGGAGACTGATGCTACAGAGACTGCAAAAGATGGCACAGTATGGCATGAAGAACAGGTGGGAACGGGTCCACATTTCACCCCACCATCGCCATACAGCGCAGACGGAGAGCCAGCAGCTGAGGCCAGGGGGTCAATCACCAGTCGCCTTCAGAGCTTCCTTTGTTTCATCACTCCGGACATGCTTGGCATCGTTCGAGACTGTACAATTCAACATGCGATGCAAACTGAGCCTGTGGATTGGTTCGTGGACATACCTGAACTAATGGCATTTATTTCCATCACCATCGTGAGGGGAATCTTCAAGGTGCCATCACTGCCTGACTGTTGGTCGAAAAACCTGGGAAGCCCACACATCATGGACACCATGTCCCGAGGCCGTTTCCAAAACATCATGCATCACCTGCGCTTCGATGACAGAGACACCCGCAGCGAGCGAGCACAGACTGATAGGTTCGCTGCAATTTCAAACGTATGGGGATTGTTTGTCACCAACTGCATCACATCCTACCTTCCTGGTCAACACATCACCATTTACAAACAACTTTTCCCGTGCAAGACTCGCTGCTGTTTCCTACAGTACAGTGCAACTAAACCAGACAAGTTTGGTGTCAAGTTTTGGGTGGCGTGTGACTTGAAAACCAAATACGTCTGCAACATCCTCCCGTATCTCGGCAAGGACCCCACTCGGCCTCGTGGGGAGAGAGTGTCTGAGAGTGTAGTCATGAGGCTGATGGAACCATTCTTGGACAAGGGCAGAAATGTTACCACAGACAATTTCTTTACATCACTGTCACTTGCAAAACGACTGCTTAGCCGGAATACAACCATCCTCGGCACAGTCAACAGGATTCGCCAAGAAATCCCACCGTCAACTCTACAGGTGCACCGCGAGGAATTTACCACCCAGGTATTTTCATCCACTGGTGCCACGCTGACTGCGTATGCGCCCCAGCGGAAGAAGACCGTGTATGTTCTCAGCAGCATGCACAGCACGATTGAGACACAGAAAACCACCAAAAAGAAGCCAAACACCATCACACTCTACAACACAACAAAGTGCGGCGTCGATATCATGGACCAGATGGTGCGGGAATACACTGTCCGCGCAGGAACAAGGCGCTGGCCAGTAGCAGTGTTCTACAACATGATAGACATTGCAGCACTGAATGCCCACGCGCTCTATCAATTATGCACCGGGAGAAAGGAAAGACGGGTGGATTTCCTGTTTGAACTGGCAAAAGAGTTGGCTCACTGCCACGTGGATATGAAAAAGGCCCAAAAGGAGCAATTGCTTCAGCAACAACCCTCCACTCCAGAACTCGGACAAAGAGCCAAGTGTCAGGCTAAAATCAAATGCAAGGACAATCGTGCAACAGTGCGCTGTGAAAAGTGTTACAAATACACATGTGGGAAATGCCGAAAGGAGCAATGGCAGTGCCAGAATTGTTAGTGACTGCTCAAATGTATTTCACTCATTTGCATTCTTTGTAAATATGCTTTTTTTCTTTGTAATTTATTTTTCTTCTATTTTTGGCACACAAAAATAAGTTACTTGTGCCACAACCTTCCACACGAAAACTGGGAAAACAGTTGCTTTTGCATTCATTGTAAATATGTTTTGTTTTGTATTTTTTTAACAATAAATGTTTAGAGCTGCTAACAGCCACATTTCCACAACAAAAGGAGTGTCCGCAGGAGGTCCAAAGGGTCAAATGACCCTCTTGTGGGGCTTTTAGCTAAAAAGGTCAATTGACCCCTCCGTGGTAGTTCTAATCTCCACTCACTGATCTTTGAATTTTAGCAGAGTGTTGTCTCCCAAACTTTTGTTTTGCCATGCAAATGGCTCGTCTTTTAATCTCCGTCTGAAAAGCAACAATGCTGGCAGGAGGCTGGACGGTCTTGGTTTCACTGCATTATTCATAGTGGAGCCTGGAGGCCACTCAGGTCCGTCTGGGAGTGAAGCTTAAAGGGTCGGTTGTTACCCAACTGCTTCATTTAGCCATGAATTTGAACAAGAAGAATGTGGCCAGTGGTTTTCTTTCCGCACCGAATGGGGAAGCATGCGGTCTTTCTCTGGTTTTGGGTTGGAGTAACACGAGAGCCCAGCAGCTTTTATGACTCAGCAGCTGTGTGTGTGAGAGCAGCTGCTGGAGTCTGAACTCACACACACACACACAAAAACACACACACACACAAATGAGTGAATCCAAGCATTCCCATGTGCTGCTCTGTCCCCCGACAGCTCCTGGGCCGAATGGGGACGGAGGAGGAGCGTGGGCAGGCCGCTCTGTTCCTGGCCGCTGAGGCCACTTTCTGCACCGGCGTGGAGCTGCTGCTCAGCGGAGGAGCCGAGCTCAACTACGGCTTCAAGAGCCAGGTCCCGGCCTGACCGCATAGTTTCCACTGGAGCAGCTGCTTGTTACACAATCTCTTAACACAGACACGCTGGTTACAAATACAAAATGCTTTAAGAAAAACATGAAATAAAGTTTTTTTTTTTAAAAGACAGCTGCTTTTACAGTACAAATTATTGCAATTTATTTTATTTAGCTCTCCAATTTGTTTAGTTGGGTAAAGATTTTGCCACCTAGGATGCGTGCATGTAACAGGACCTGTACCCTCCCCACTGACCGACCAATCACCATCAACCTCTCTGACCTACAATAACCTCCGTTTCTCCTGGCCAGTCAGATACGAGGCTTTTGACACGCCTCCACTGACTTCCTGAATAAGACTGTACTGGTTAATAAAAACCGGTCAATCTAACGAGATAACTGTCTATTTATATCTTTTATTGTTTGTTTGTTTGTTTGTTTTGCTCTTTACGCACATTTAACCTCTATTGTCTTTACACTGGATCAGTCAACGAGAGTTTAGAAATTAAACCAAAAAAAAAAAAAAAAGTACAAAACAGTAACAGCAAAAAAGGTTATTAAGTAACTAGGCAGAGTATTTATGTGATTGTCCCGAAGGGCGTTTCGGGTTCTGGTGGCTTTTGAGTTCATAGTAGCCGAGCGGAACTCACGTTTACTGTAAGTGTTTGTTTCCACACGAACAAATAATCTGGGATAATCGGCGCTACGTAGAAGAGATGGCAGCCCTCCGGACGGTGAGTGCACTGACCGCGTCTGTCTGCCCTTATCTGTTCAGGCGGATTGTCAAAGTTAATGATTAACACGACTTATCGATAAATTAGCCTCTAACGAGGGAGGAAGATAACGTTTCCTTTCTCGGCTGGTTCACGCGCGGGGCGTCCGTCCCGCCAGCTCCGCTCTGACAACACATCACAGCATCGGGAGGAACAGAGCCAGACCTCATGCAGAATTATTACGTTTTTAGATGTTTTGGCTTGTTGTCGAGAATTTACCCATCGTAAAGACCTGTAAAGGCGGGAAATTAACCCTGTATGCTTTGTAACGAATTCGGCAAAAATGAAGAGTGAACATTTTTATGAAAATCGAGTCAATTTAATGTTTTTTGCCCAATGCTGCTCACCAACCTGTAGAGTAAAACGGTCGATTTTAATCTGGTAATTTGCCGAAATGGATAAAGCATGCCACAAATACTGTCTGTTTCTGTAGATAATAAGAAAGCATCTTAAATTGGCCCACATCTATCTATCTATCTATCTATCTATCTATCTATCTATCTATCTATCTATCTATCTATCTATCTATCTATCTATCTATC